GGGGGGGGAGGAAGTTACCCAAGAATAGCTCCAACAAGTGTTGCTATGTTAACCAGACCTGTGGTGATTGTCGAAAAATTGTAAGGAGGCGATTCTAGGATTTCTGCCATGGTGTTGAAATAGACAATGAGAGAGCTTTGTGCAAAGGCAAACATAAGTCCTGCCTAAAGGCTGTTAATACATATCCGACCATGAGTTTCCGATGTAGCTTACTAATACAATGTTAGGAAAAAGAAAGAGAGTGAATGGTCGACGAAGATAGGTCCAAAATGAGGTGTGATCCTCTTTAATGTAGTGTATAGGACTTAGGACCTGTAAATATGTACGCTTCGTATCGTACATTTCGCCATAATCTTCGCTAATGGTGGTTGCAATTGGACCAAAATTAGGTTCCTTTTCCCCAGCGGATGGTAGGTCTTGGTGGCCGTCATATTTATCAGCCTGTCGGGTAGACAAATCTTCTCCTCGGGGTCTTCGCGTTGACAGTCGGTGATACATCGTGTCGTCAAAGGTGAAGAGGAATATTATAGCAAGTCCACCCTGCCATCACTTAGTTGTCATTGTTTTAAAGGCTAGGGCCAAGGACTTTACCGAAAAGGCACAAAATATGTATGGACCATAGGGCCATCCAAGCTTTTCAGCAATAATGCCCCCAAGTAACGAGCCAAGGAAGTTTCCGAGGATCTGAGCGATAATAGCTAGAGCGAGCATCGTGCCGTACTCATGAGCAAAGAACATATAAAATACCTAAGTGGTTAGAGTCTGCTTACTTTTTCTGTTCCATCTGAGGTAAGAAGTCCTATGGCTTACTGTTAACTGAATCAGCGCCTCATATATTGAGTTTGTACAGCCGAGGAGAAGGTTGTTCAAATACCACTGGGTGATACCGTGGAATGAGCCACTCCAGTATGATATTGGGGCGGCTGCGGCCAGACAGAAGACATAGACAAATTTCCTCCCAATTCTGAGAGCTACTGCAATCCAAAAGATGTTGGCAAACCCTAAAACCAGTTAGTTAAGACCTGATCCACCGTTCATGTTCACCATGGAGATATGTCGTTCCTCGGAGATGATGGTCCAGGGAGCTCCCATAACACTTTCGGAATAGCCGATCATAAGAGCCATCGTGCAGGAAAGAAATAATTGATAGTATTTTTTCTTTATTGGCCAATTCTATACAAATAGACATACGTATTTCGGTTAGAAATGGGGTACATGGATGGGTTTTGGGGTGCTTCACACCAAAGGATCACGTGGAGAAGACGTTGGAGTAGGCTCAAGCAAAATATCATTGTGGGCCGTCTGCGAAATAAACTCGTTGTTTACTAGAAATACTATATTAGTAACTTCAAAGGCTCTGAAAGCTTAGATCTCATACCGTCAATCAGCAATATTGTGCCGGGAATCTCGGTTTCAGTCATGTTTGTTTGTAGTGAGGTTGCTTCAGGGGGTGGAGAGGAACAAGAGGAAAGAACAAAATACTAGAGCAAAAATTCAAAAATAATATAGCGTTGCACATTCAGTAAAAACCAGCCAAAAAAAGTGTTGGCAAAGAGGACGATTATGTAGTTGGCGGCAGCGTACGTTATCGTGATCTCCCGGCCTTCTTGTCATCATTGTTCAACGAGTCTACGGCCAGGCTTATCTGGGGCTAGACGCAAAGGAGAATGTTGAGTAGTTCCAATGCACTAAGCCCGATGGTGGCCACTCAGGATGGTCTATTCTATCGTCGAAAGAAGGACAGTCAAGGCTTCACTGAGCGGAGGCTTATCTGCCTGATGCAGTATCTACCCCATTATATATCCTGCCAGGCGAGGTTGCGGGGGCGGAGGTTGAACGTTTCCTAAGTCTAGCCCGAACAAGCATGTCAAGCAGTTGAGTTTTCCAGCAACGGCGAGGAGGGAGGGAGTGCATGGCATCCCGGTCGTTATCGGTCAAGCAGAGGAAGCGCATCGAAAATACCTAGAAAGCATTATATGTACTACCTGCGTATGTAGAATCGGCGCCGTAGTTCCGAGATACAGGGCCGGGATACCCCTGTATGGACTAGGCCCCAATAGGCATGCGCAAGAGTTGGAGATAAGGATTGCACAGACCACGCAGACTTTTGGTTTATATATACCCTATCTACATGTCATGATCACTGTGTTTGACCTCTCGTTTTGCGCTCGAAGAAAAGAAAGAAACGAGGTAAAGAACGATGGCATCTCCTAGCAGACACACGGCCATTATTGGCGGTGGCATTATGGGAGCCACCACAGCCTACTACCTCACTGAGCAGCCCGGCTTCGATATCTCGGCCCACAAGGTGACTATCATCGAAGCAGTTGGTCTGTCTCCGATCTTATTTTTAGGTGTGATAAGGCTAACTCTGCTCCCAGGAATCGCCCAAGCAGCATCCGGCAAGGCTGGTGGCCTGGTCAGTGTTGTCGAGGCGCTGCACACCGAAGAGACCTATGAACTCGCGAAAATCTCGTGGAAGCTGCATTCTGATCTGGCTGCCAAGCACAACGGAGCTGAAAAGTGGTGGTATAGGCGTGTAGACATGCAACAGCAAGAGCTTGAATCCACGAAGCCCGAAAAGCCAGCGCTGCCACCACCAGACTGGGACACATCTTGGTTAAATACAGATCAGATAACTAAATGCAGCGTTGAGGGAACTAAAGACTCCGCTGGACAAGTGTACGAAGTTTCATGGCTCCCTAGTTGTGCGGCTCTTTGACTGACAAATGAGATAGCACAGGTGACCGGTTAACGAAGACCATAGTTGACCTGGCCAGGTAAAGGGGCGTCGAGGTCATCCTTGGAAAGGTCAATCGAGCTACATATGCCGAAAATGGTTCTTTCATCACCACACTTCAATATGTCCCTCGCGGTGACACGTCGCCGATAAATTTAGCCGTCACCAACGTGGTACTCGCAGCAGGGCCATGGTCAGGGGAAGTTTTCGGCGCAATCAAGCCATCAGGCATATCGTACGAGTTACCCGTCTTTGGCACTCGTGGCCACTCCATTTTTATCGACACTCTAGAGCCGCTACCTCCTTTGGCAGTATTTACCGAATACCATAATGGTGAATCCGAACGTCTGGAAGGGGAGACGACAAAACCGTTCCATCTCGAGTTCTACCCACGCCCAGAGTATCTCTATGTATGTGGACCGGCAGACAACCGAACACCTTTGCCCCCAGTGGATACACCAGCGGTTGATTCGGCATTTTGCAATCGCATGTTTGAAATGTGTGGCAAGACATCTCATGTTCTCGCGAACGGAACTCTGAGGCAAAAGCAGAGTTGTTATATGCCCATGGTCAAGCTTACTGATCGATCATCTGCGAACCCTGTCTTGTCTGGGCCTCCTCTTATTGGAAAGCTACCTTTCTTCGACAACCTCATTGCCGCCACGGGACATTCATGCTGGGGGATGATGTTTGGACCAGCCACGGGCTACGTGGTGGCAGAGATCCCGTTCGCCTCGTGAACGGCAAAAACTACATCACTGGTCGTGTTAAGAAGTGGAACTTTACCTTCAATGAGTATGGCCTAGCAGGCAGTAAATCAATGCATATAAAAGGCACCAAGAGCTAGCTGATTCACACTTCACACTCACGTTGGCTGTTTCCAAAAGCTATAAGATTGATCGCTTTTGGAGCCTTATATACTTTCAACGCTCTTCGTACAGATAAATCATAGTATGAGGCTTAGAGCCGTGCTGATGGACTAGCTCAGAACATAGGCATATCTAGCTACCAGACTTGTAAGCAGAGAAAAAAAGTTGGCCTTTTAAAAAACGTCATTACAACACAATTCCGAGATTGCCAGTATCTTGCAAAATCTCCATGCATCCAATTCTCTTCTCGTTGCGAGCAATCCTAAACTCTTTCTGCCTCCAGACTACCTGCATCATGCTCACGATTTGATCCATATTGCGTGATTTTCGAGCCCTGTTCTCCAAGCGCTGAAGCACCAAGCGTCGATCGGGCGGCTGGACTGCTTCGCAACCAGCCGCCCATAGCGGCCATACTAGAACGTTATTAACGGGTGATTGTGGACTGATTTGACGAACATAATCTAGACAAAGTTTGACAAAGTACACGACATGCGGATGGGGTGCGCTGAGGTCGTATGCTGCTTTTGTAAAGATATATCAGAACAGCATAGCGGTATGCGTTTGCTGTTGCAACGAGGTCGCTTGCCGCTTGGTTGCTTGAGGAATCAATATGACATGAGGTTGGAAGCTGGAAGTTGAGAATGCTTGACTCAATCATTGAGGCTTGTCGTTTTAGACCAGCCTCCCACGAAGCTGGTGGAGAAGGGGCGGCTTGGTATTTTCTTTTCACTACAGCCAAATGAGATATCTGGGCCATGATGCGTAGCATCGGCCCGTGGAAGCCAAGGAAGCTGTCCATTTGAGTTTGAGTGTCAACCTGTACCCAATTATCAGATAGTAGGGGATCATCTTGGGTCGACGGAGTGGCTAGAATATCGTAATGGCAGAATCTGTCACTTGGTCAGCAAAGATGTTTTTTTTTTTTTTTTTTTTACGGAGGGGTGGTTTTATAAATGCTTTTGTGAAAGGAATGGTAGCGGGCAGGGATTTCTGAGCGCGTACAAGCTAATTAAAATGCCAGATGATACAGTCGTGTGGTACGTGGCAGCTTTACCACGGGCTTTGATGATGCTAGCTGCACCTTTCATATGGCTGATGCACGCCTGGTAGTCGGGGCAGTAGTGAACGTCTGGTTGGGTGTGAGCCAGCGAGAACAATTCTAAAATTTTCTCTGACGGACTGACCAACCTCATAGATATGTAGCATGAGGATGGCAGCTAGCGTACAGTCGGCATAACACAAAGCGGGGTCTAAAATGGCCCTTTTCACAGAGCCAATAGCTTTACAATGCCATTTCAAAGTAGTGATATCCTTCTGTGGCATCCACATGTCCCGATGCGATGAGGCAACGGCCATGATGCTCATCCACAGCGGGGTTCTATCCAGCGCCAAGGGTATAATCGACGAGAGTAACCGTTCACGACAGCCCCAAGAGATGGACAGCGTGCCGCTTGTATACTTAATCCAGTGGTCAAGCAGACTGGCCTCTTGGTCGCTGACACCGGGTAGGCTCCGTGGGGCTTGGGGGATTGCTTTGGAGTCAGCGAGGGAGCTCCCAGCTGCGGCCTCGCTTGCTGGGATGCAATTTGAGTATGCTTGGTGGGATTCAGGAGCAGGGCTAGAGTGCTTCCTCTTGCCTTTCGTCCGAAGGCTGGTCCGTCCATGGGCTATGCCTCTCTTAGCTGCGTCCTCCTTCCAGAGGAGACGCAAACCGTATCCTTCGCAGGAAAGCCCCAGCCGACGGCACTCATTGCATGTCGGTCTGGCTTCATCGCACTTGTAGCCCCGGGACCGACATGTGAGGCAACCAGTGCGGGACCGTTTATGTCGAATGTTTTTCTGTGCGCCTTGTCGCACGTGTTGTTGCATGGCTGATCTCGAGCGAGTGGAAGAATTAGAGGTGGTGTTGGAGATGAGAGACGCCGGCGGCTCGCGCGAAAGCCGGTTCCTACTTATTCATCAACCTCTCTATCTATCACCACTAGCATACGATTCGGCCTTTGTTCTAGCCAAAAAGGAGTGGGTCGATCAATGCGGGGTGAATTCTGAGAGATAAGCAAATGTTGACTGCAGTGGATAGGCTAACCCTAATGCTGGTCATTGATTTTCATTGCACCTCTTTCTTAGTTAAATCATTATTATTAGTGTCTATAGTTCTTGTATCTGGATTGCTCTGTAACAAGATCAACCCATCTAAGAACTATGCATATAAGAAGTATTTAAAAGAGGTAAGGCCACGAGGAAAGGCCATTAGAAGGCAAATTAGGGAAAAAGGCGACGAAACAAAAAAACTAGGGTATAAGAACCCAGAGGAAACTTGACAAATAGATCAATTTTTCGTTGGCTAGTTGATTTGGTATAGTCTAATTTTGTGTGGCAATGGGCACGGAGAGATCAACATGATTACAATGAATTAAACGTTGTGGTCTGACTTAGGTGGCGCGTGGAAGAGACTTAGCATGGCACGAAATAATAGTACTTGTGATCTAGCTCTAAGCAATCCAGTTATGAGGATTCTGATTCTGCTACTGCTTCCCTCGGAGGTATTGAGGTCTGCGGGCATATCCCATGGACATGTATCTGCAAGCTAACCATTTTATGTCTATCACTAGGCTTGAATTGAAGAAGAAATGACATTCTGTCCTCATTCATTCTTTGTTCATGGTATCAGCCTTAAGACCCAAAGGACTGCTAGTACCGAACCGATACAGGCTTATTTGATGTCTAGCTCAAGAGGTCGACATGTGGCCTAGACATGACAGCAAAAACAACGAAAGTGTGACACTGATCATTCATAGTTTTCTCATCTGATATATTTTATTGCTGTATTCGTATCATAAAATACAGAGACCTTCTGATAACATCACTCGCACTGTGTGTATTCAGCTCATTCTAAAAGTCAAGCCTCTCTGTTCTATATAAGCGGCCTCTCCTATCGTTCGTTTGCCTTGGAAGACATGTTATAATAGTGTACTTTCCCCAAAATCACTTGATACAGGGTGTTGCAACGAGTGTTGTACTCAAACTCCTGAAGCATTCGGTCTTGTTCAGGCTTTCAGCCAAGCTTGCTCAATCATGTACACCCACTATGCTTTGTTCCTGGCCAACCTGGCCTCTCTCGCGTCTGCTTGGGCTCCTCCTTCATACTCAGGGTACACGCTGCTGTGGAGCGACAGCTTCGGTGGCTCGGCGGGAACGCTACCTAGCTCCGGCAATTGGAATATCATCACAGGAAATTTGGGCGTGAACGGCGAGCTAGAAACATACACGAACTCGAATGTGAATGTGCAGCTCAGCGGTGGCAGCACGCTGCAGCTGGTGCCCTGGGCGGATAGTTCTGTGTCCGGCGGGTGGACTTCCGGTCGAGTCGAGAGCAAATATATCTTCACGCCAGGCGCTGGAGTGATCACGTTCGCCGAGGCCGATATCAGATTTGGCAGCAATCCCACGACAAACAAACAGGGGATCTGGCCCGCCTTCTGGATCCTCGGTGATTCGATACGCTCGGGAACCGCGTGGCCAGAGTGTGGGGAACTCGACATCCTCGAGACTGTTGACGGTCAGTTGACTGGCTATGGCACTGCACATTGCCAGGTGAGCCCGGGGGGCATCTGCAACGAGCCCAACGGCCTGGGTGGCAGCATCACCATCCCTGACCAGTCATGGCATACATGGCGCATGGTCTGGGACCGCACCCCGTCTACGTGGCAGGCCGAGACTATTACCTGGTACATGGACGGCAGGCAATTTTTCCAGATCACCGGGTCACAGATTGGCAACTCGGACGTCTGGGCTACGCTGTGCCATGATCCGCTATACTTTATCCTCAACGTGGCTGTCGGAGGTAACTGGGTATGAAGTCTATTTTACATTTGCTTATATGACCGTCCCGAAAACTGAGCTAACACTCTGTTCCATAGCCGGGTTATCCCAACTCCAACACTCTCGGGGGTTACGGCAGCATGTTGGAGATCGCGTATGTCGCTGTATACGCATCTTGAATTCGGTCGCTTTATATGACCTCCATACTGTTCAACGGCGGGAAATGTTATGTTCTAGGCTCTTGTCGGTTTTTGGACGATGGAACTACCGGAAAGGGTATGCTTGTCGGGGGTTGATATGGAATGTAGGATTGCTAGGCTAGTTTCATGTGTATACCTGTTGCTCCGGAATATTGCGCTTGATGTGGTCAATCTTGTCCTTTTGTAGGCAGCTTGCATGAGATCATACAGTCGCTATGGAATAGTTCAACCGCACCGCCTCGTGCTTATTTTATGTAAGCTACGATCATAGTTAACGTTAATGTACCTATGCGGCTGCCTAATATGTTCGATTTGTTCACGCTGTAGCTCAATCTTTCTAAAGTTATTTGTTGCGCACTTTCAGACATGGCTGACACCCTCCACACAGATAGATTTAAAACAACCTAAGTAGTGCACATTTGAAGAGACATCTATAGAGACACAAATGTCCCAGGGATCTAATTGTTTGACAGATCTTATTTATCCGTACGACCTCGCCACTCGTCAATGCGAGTGAGCCAATCACGAACAAGAGCCTCGAAAAGACCAGTCTCATCAATAGGGAGGTCGTGTCTGCCGCGGTCTAGAACAGCGTAGGTCGATCGTGGATAGAGCTCCAGCAGGCGGAGGCTGTCTCGGTAGCCCACGGTCTCGTCTTGTCGACCACACACGATAAGCGTGGGCGCGAAGAACTTGGAATCTTGAATTTCTGAAGCAACAGATAACTGATATCGCTGTGGGTCTGACCTGATGGGATCTAGCGCTTCGTTGTCTATCGCTTTCAGTTCTGGAAGCACAGCTTCATTTTTCGCCTTGAGAGACTTGATATACGCAGGTGTCTGGACGTGAACGTCTCCGAGAAGCGCCTTGTCCTCGCGGGATATGCTTGACATGAGCTGCTCATTTACAACCAATGGTTGGAAGGGATCGAGATCACGCAAGCTGTCCTTGGGTTCGATAAGCGGCACTCGCAATAGTAAACCATCGACTTGGTCAGCGTATTTTTGAGCGAGGGCACGCGCGAGGTAGCCGCCACACGATGAGCCTATAAGTAGGAACTTTGAATTTGCAAGCCGGGTATCAATAAATTGCACCAGGCGATGATACATCTCGTCCAGGTCTTTGACATTTCTTGCCGGTGTTTTGCCCATGCCTGGAAGGTCGACATAGATCCGGCGAAGACCGAGTCTGGTGGTGAAGATTGGCTCAAAGTCCTGCTCCTCGACCTTGCCACTTAACCCCCATCCATGGATGATTAGCACGGAGAGGCCTTCGCCGATTTCGTGCGCTGACAAAAGCGAGTCCGGCCGCATGGTGGAGAGGTACTGATTGTGACGGGAGGGGATACTGTACAGCAGCCAGTGCAGCTAAATTACGTAGAAGAATTTTTTGCTTCAGATGCAATCACGACATTTTCAAATCAAAGGCAGAAATTCCCAAGCTTTACTATCGCCAAGTAGCTCCATCTGATTTGTTACGAAGCAGCGACGGTACCCACTAACGTAACCGGACACCCACCCGGCCACGACACCAACCCGGCCACTCCCTCCGGAAAACGCGCTCTATATTATTATGTTACGAAACCAACTTGCATGATACTAGGCAGAAACTAGTACTATATGGGAAAGGTGCTTAGTTAAAGTATCTAACACCATGGCCAGTTATTTATACGCACTAATATACAAGGCGGTCATTAAATATATGGGCTTATGGCTAACATAAGAAATATATGATCAGTATATACCATGGTATATATTACAGGGTGTAAGGGAAGTGTATATAGTGCTAAGCAGAACTATTAGATATATAATTAGATATATATCCTGAGATATAGGATAAGTATAGGGGATATTAATTATATAAATATGCTTATTCTTATACTTAGTTTCTACTTAGTATAGCTCTTTAATTTAAGTTACTTGATTATATATTAAGAGAGTTAGTAAGATAAATCTATTTAAAGTATTATAATACTTTAAAATGTTTTTTCTATCTTAATTATAATTAACTAATCTTTATTATTAATAAGTCTAAATTATATCTAATCTTATTATAAGGCGGAATCCTGGATGGAGTTGGGAATAGCTTCAAAGTACAACGGGCATATGACCTCGCCCGGCTTCCTACTGCTAATTAGACTAGCGGCTTAGCATATACTACCTTATAATTATAGGTGGCTTTAAGCCTTTATAAAGTAGTAATTAGCTGCTAAGCATACATATTGTCAGAGAATCAGAACGTCACAGCCAATGGATCAGGTTAGTCACTACGAGACTAATGCACATCGGAACAAAGGATTACCTGTGAAGCCTTAGGGTTAGGGCAATAGAGCCAGCAGAGCCATTACTATATTGATTATGTTGGTTAGAATAGAGCAAATAAAGTCATTATTATATTAGCTATAATGAAGGAAAGCTATATAAGAATACTCATTTATTATATATTTAGTTTTCTTCTATTATCTTAAATTAATTATAATAATTTAAGTATATAATCTTTTATTAATTAAGATATTTATAGTCTTATTCTTATTTCTTTTATTTACTAAGACCTTTTAATCTTAAAAGCCTATTAACTTTGTCTATTAATAGCTATCTTAACTATATTTAATAATAATTAATTAAAATTTCTGATAATTTAAGACTCTTAATTAAAAAAAAAGTCTTAAGAATAAGTAATAATAATATTTTAAATCTTAATTCTAGTAATTCTAAGTCCTAACTTATAAATTACTAATATTAGTAATAGGAATACTATGACTACTAATAATAGGGATATAATAGTACTATTATAATATATTAAAAAACTAGAATGAGTAGTAATTAATAATAAAGAAAAACTAAGTTATATATCTTAAGAGATTAAGATTAAAATAGTAACTCTATTTAAGAGAGAGTATAGAATTTTTAAAATATACCTTACTTAGATATAACTCTATTTTATATATAATAGTAAATAAATTATAAATAAGTCTAATAAAATACTAGCAGTATTAAGCTTCCTTAATAAAGAAACTATAAAGTGGTTTACTTTATATATTACTAATTAGTATTATATATATAGTAATAAAGAATAAAGAAATCTTAAGATAATTATAATATTTTCTAGTTACTAGTACTATAAAGAAAAACTTAACCAGCTATAGAGAACTATTAATAAGAAAATTAAAGCTATTAATAAGATATAATATATTAAATAATAAATTTTAGTTAAAAAATATATTTTAAAGTTCTTATAAATATTAAAAAGACTATTATAAAATAACTAAGAATTTAAAGACTAGTTTTATAAAGGATTAAAAGATAATATTAAAAATTAAATCTCAATAATAATATTATAATTTAAAATATTTTAAGTAATAATAAAAATAACATCTTAGATTAATTTAATTATCTATATCTAATAAATAAAAAAAAAGAATTTAGAAGAAATAAGATAAACTTTTATTAAAGATAAACTAAAGATAAGAATAAAAATATAATAATATAGCTAAATATAATCTTATCTAAAAAAAAAAAAGACAAATTAAGAAAAAATAAAATTTACTTTAATTATAAAAAATCAGATTATTTTATAAATTAATGCCAAAAACTAAAAAAGAACTAGAAACTAACTACTTTAGATTTAAAAAAGTAAATTATAATAATAATTCTACTAATTTTAATTAATAATAATAAAGCTAATAGAATAGCTAATAATAAGATTAATTCTAATAAAAATTTAAAATAATTAATTAAAGATAAAAAATAATAATTAAAATAAATAATAAATTATAAATAAATCTAAATAGAATAAATATAATAAATTAAAAAGCAGAAAACTTTAGAATAATTAAAAGAAATACTTAATAATTTAAAAGAGAAAGATAAAGAATAAAAATAAAAAAGATTTAGCCTTAGAAGAAGTATTAAATAAATAAAATAAGTTAGTATTAATATAAGAAAAAGACACCAATCTTATAATTTAAAAAAAGAATTAATTAGCTAGACATTTCTTACATATTATCTTAAAAATATTAAAAACTTATTAAAAAATAATAGTAAAGATATTAATTTAGAAGAAATTAATACAGAAAACTTTAGTATAAAAGATATTTAAGTAAAATCTTTATTAGAAGAATTACTTTATACTTAATTAATATTATAAGATGATAAGCTAATAATAATAACTTATAAGAATCTATACTAAAAATCAGATAAAAATTCTATTAAGAAAGAATTAAAAGAAGTATAGAAGAATATTATTTAACTTTAAAAGAATAATTTATATAGTTATATATTAGTAAATATAACTTACTAGGAAAGATCTTAAAAAAAATAAAAAGATTATATTAAAGAATATAAATATTATAAAAAATAGACATATTATGTATATTAATAATATAGATAAATATATGCATCTCTAGCAAATATATATAAGCATATATCACATAAGCAAGGACGATACTTTTATAATAGAATAACTGGACATATAAGGAATTACTCTTATCATCATTATCTAGTACTAAAAGGAAATTTATATTAGGAAGTATATTAGATAATATATTATAACTTATCATACAAAATGCATCTTATAGAGAAAGAATAAATAAGATGGTTTCTAAGAATCCTAGAAATAATTGAAGAATTAAGACTTAAATATCCATAGGAATAAATAAAATATTAGTATATCTATTAAGAACCTATATATCTCTATTATAATAATATTATAATTACTAAATATAAAGTAAAAGAACCACATAAATAGCATTATTATAATATTAAAGAATATTTTAAATATTAATAAAAATACTAGAAAAGACATATAATTATAATTAAACTTATTATAATAATTATAAAATAAAAAATAGTTAGTTAAACAATAATAATACTAGCAAAAATTAATAGAAAAGATATAAGAATCTTATTAGATTTAGAAATAGCCTACAACTATATTAAAAAAGAATTTATAAAAGAAGTAGGACTATTTATAATCTAAACTAATAAATAGATAATAATTATCTCTATTAATAAAAAAATAATTAATTAAGATTATAAAAGATAAACACTGAATGTTATTATAAAATTAAAATAATATATTATAATAATTATGCTTAATATCACACTAGTATTAAGAGAATATTATAATACTATATTTAAAATAGCATAATTATAAATATAAAATCCAATAATTAACTAGACAAAGAGAATAGTGATTATTGATAAAATAATATTAAGAATATAAATAATTAAGAAAAATATTAAAGAAATTGTATAACTATATAAAAAATTAAAGAAAATCCTCAATATACTATTAAAAGCTAAAAGATCAGTATAAAAGATAAAAGAATAAAAATAAAAGATAATATTTATTAAAAATATTAAATATATTAATAAAGAAAATAAAGCATAAAATATAAAAAAATCACAAAATAGTTAAGAAAACTTAAATAATAAGAACAAAATACAAATTAAGAATAATAAAATAAAGAAGATCAGAATAATCTAATAAATATAAATAATTAAAAAAATAAGAATTACAAAAAAAATATAAAAAATAAAATTAAAATTAAAAGAATTATACAAAAAGGAATTTATAAAAGTATTAATAAAGTTACTTAAAAAATACTATAAGTTTATTAAACTATTTATAAAAAAAGAATAGTAATTACTAATATATAATAAAGAATTTAAAGTATAAATTAAATTAAAAAAAAGATTTATACCACCCTTAATCAAGTAATACCACAAATCAAAAGACAAACTAAAACTTAAGAATAAGTTTATCAATAAGTTTTATAAAGTAATATATATATAATCAGAACATAGAAAAGCATCAGTATAATTAATATTTATTAATAAAAAAGATATAATTAAATAAATAATTATTAATTACAGAGTATTAAATAATAAAATAATAAATAATATAAACAAGACACCTTATTAAGAATAAAAAAAAGATCTCTTACAGGGAGTAAAGATTATAACAATCTTTAACATTTAATAGGATTATTATAATCTATAAATAGCTAAAAATAATATTTAAAAGACAGCTTTCCTTATAAATAAAGGACTATTTGAATAGATAATTATACTAATAAATTTAAAGAATCTACTAGCATAATTTACACAATATATAACACATATTCTATAAAAATACTTGAACAAATTTATTGCAGTTTATTTTAATAATATTATTATATATTTATAAAACCTAAAAGAATATAAAGAATATATATAACTAATCATAACAACACTTATAAACAAAGGATTAACACTTAAGATCAAGAAGTATAAATTTAATATTATAACCATTAATTACTTAAGAATAGTTT